CAACGTGTGTGCCAGTGCCATGTCAGTTTCTGCAATTGCACAATTTCTGGTCATTTGAAGGCGAGGGTACCAGCGACTCAACACTGTTCGGAAATGGCGGGACTCCCTCTTGTTTGCACGTTGACTCTCGCCACGTGAGCCCGGGAAAGTGGTGAGAGCCAATCGTTCAAAGGGATGCCGCCTTTCAACAGTGTCGAGTCGCTGATACATCGTAACTGCTCGTATACAGCTCGATTCGCTGGTGCAAAGCTCGTATCCCTCGACTAGACACGGAGTCGCTGGATTCGCAAAGTCTCATACCAGACTGTCAGCGGCTCATGACCACTGTGATCTCACACATCCAAGCTTTTGCCACACTGTAGTTGGCTCACCCACCTCGGAGTCCCTCTCCCCTACAAGGCTTAGTCCTAGGGCTCTCACCTTCCTCCTTGGGATTTGGAGCCGAGCCAGGCGCCGTTCCCGATCGCCTGTGCTTTCGTCTCGTGGCGGAACCTTCCTCAGCTTGGAGAAGAGGAGACAGAGTTTCGTTATGAGACCCACCATTGGAAGATTGGTGTGTATCAGTCCCGGTGGAGCACTGTATTCCCTGAGAAGTCGCGCTCCTCAGTCTAAGATGTGAAACACAGAGATATGACAGATCTATGACGCAACCCTGTCCCCCGAACCTTAAAATGTCATCAAGAGAGAGGGACGCGTCTCCTGGGGCGGTATTCAATCCTTCCCACAGGGGGATATATCCCCCTACTCCGATTCAATCCTCTTAGGGAAAAGAGTGCTTCATCAGTGGAGGGTAGTCGCGCTGCTCTAACTGTCTGGCAGGTAGAAACACAGAGGTATGCTAGGTCCTATGACGCAACCCTTTTTTGTCCCCCCAGAGGATTGAACAGAGGAGGGTTTCTTATGTGGTTGGAGCTACTTCGCATACTGCTGCTGACTTCTCGAAAAACATCCAGTTTGAAACACATTCAAAGGTACAAAAAGAGTTCTGCACCCTACCTTCAGATGCTGCCCTCCATCTGCTTGCAGAATTATATCAGTCCCGACGGTTCGAAGCCATTTGCCGGTGAACAGCGAATTTCCAATCTGGAATTGAGCGGTCAGTTCGCATTAGATCCCTCATATTTCCACCCTGTTAACGCAACCAGTCTGTCTTTCCGCAACAGAGTGCAAAGGGTATAGGCAATACCCCCCCCCCCCCCTCGTGCAAGTGTTGCAAGGGCTGAGATCAAATTGATAAGCATGGGATCTAAACATGGAGTTTAAATTTTGGAACGAGTGCTTACGATTAGGTGCGAGTGGCACCACATACGCACAGTACGGGCATCGAAGTGCGTCCTCCGAGGTCGGTCAATTAGTATCAGACTGGTCTTTGATAACTAAATTGTTCATAAAATCGAGTGATCCTCGCAATTCCATCGCACCGCCAATCGCTTTCCAATGGCACCATGAGCTTTGATGGAAGTAAGATGCATGGCGCAGAAAAAAGGCGTTCTACGCCGCAAAAATTTATTCACTTCGCATTTCGTTTGGGTCTGATATACGAAGTTATACGAACATAAAAAAAGCAATACAAAAGGTTGCAGAAAAGCCATCACTACTAAAAACTATAGTACTTTGCCGCAAAGATACCATTTTCAAGATCTTGACCGATAGGTAGATAAAATTCGGGAGTGTGCTGTCGCTGCTGCATTTCTCCATTGCACACCAATCGTCGAGTCTTATACTTACCTTAAAAATGACCAGAAGTCAGAAAATCTTGAGGACCAACCTGCAACAGCGGAGTCTCCGTTTCAGGCCTTCGAAGAGTGGTCTGTTTGGCAGCAATAGCTTGACGAATGGACCGTGCGTCCAGTACGCCGTTCACTTCCACCACCACAACCTCAGTTTCCCCACTCATCATCGCTCTTTACCTCTGGCATCTGTATTTACCCCAAATTTCGACCTTGTTTTAACACCTTGATTCGTTGAATAAGCACATGAACGCATCAGAAAGCCACACGTATAGGACATTCACCAAGACCGTGAGAAGTTCAAGAATAGAAATAGAATAATTTTATTGCAATCATCTCCACATGTGGACCCATCCTTGAATAACAGCAAAACATTATCACAGTTTCATAATTTTAACCCATGCACAGAGTCGCTAACACAAGAACACATATTGATCTTGAGATCGATTCACAAAAAATAAATATCAATAAATAGAAGAAGAGCTCTGTGTCTCAGGTAGTAGAATTTGTGGCCCTTCTCACGAGTTCCATCATTTTTGGATAATGTGGTACGTATTGAGTTTCGTGCCGGCTGATCACAGTCGTCGTATATGATGTCAATAAACCACTGAGGAATGAAACTATTTCCAAATCTGTATGTTCGCAGCACCACTTCACATATTGATCAACCTGAAACAAGATGCATAAAACGACAACAAAGCAGAACGACACTTGCCCATGAAATGACAATAGCCGCAACAACCATGAAAATTATCAATCGAGTCAAGCCCGGACTCGAATGTACGACAAAAGCTACAGACGGACATCATTAAGGAACAGGACGCGTAACGGCATCTAAAAGCGATGTGGCTTATAAAATGAACCGCTAGAAGAAGCCAATCCACCGACTCCAGAGCGATGAAGAGGCTTGGTGCTGGTCGGAGCCGAATACCGTTAAAATCCATGAAGCTATTGCAATATGCATATCGGACACCCTTAGACACTTCAGCATCCCACGATAATACGATAAACAGTATTTGGAATCATATCAGGACGCTGCCATTGCGATCTCTCCCCAGGCGCAGGGAGAAATTGTGACTAAAAGCTTTACAGAACCTCTTTGAAGTTTTATCCACCATTAACACTACGCCGACCGCCGCGAAGCGCATGCTCCCTTATTCTTGAGCAAGACTTCATTCTCTACACTAGCCAACCCTCCCATACGCAAACACCCAAATATCGCGTTGCTGCTGTTGACAAGAGAAAATAAATTAATGTATCTGAATGAGAAATAATAAACTAATAGTATTTCGTCAAACTAATACCGTCCATTCCACGCTGGTATGAGGCGATACCAAACTGCTAGGGCTATCAGCAATAAGGATGTGAATGTAGATCCAAGCCGGTAAAGAAGAATCCACTGGAACATCCGAAAATGAGCCATCACGGTGCCAAAGCGATAGCAACTGGCTGCGATCTGGATACTTGACGCTAGGACTCAATTTCGACTCGACTGCATCCAGCAAACTGGAATAAAGTGCTGAGGCTTTCAGAATTGGAACAATCAATGTATTAAAATCTCAGCAAAATTCTGAAGCCTAATCACAAGACCTGGAACACCCACCTTTCCAAATCGGTATGCAGTCGCTGACGAATAGAATCGCTCAGAGGGCGAAGTAGGGTGGCATTAATAAGGAAGAGTTGAATGATATAATCCGCTAGCGATGAAAGAGAAGCAGTACATCGAATAGTTGATGGGAAGTGGGACATATGAAACTCTACTCGACCAATGTAGGCAATGAGTTCCTGAAAATCAGACGAATTTTTAGAAGTCCACCTGCATGAACACAAGTGCCTTGACGTAGGTATTGGTGGGTCTCGCACTGCCGATCATGTTTTACCCCTTCCCATCGCTGTTTTCCTATCTCGTTCCCCCTATTTCGTGAAGACTTCTTCCTTTCCGGATTTTACTGTTCACTTCCATCTTTTGACATATTTTCATTTCATTCTACTATAAGTTGTCCATTTTCCATACTTCTTCCTTTCTCTCTATGAAAAAACAGATGAACTTTTTGAGGTACACTCTCGAGTACGATTCGAAGAAGTTGGACACCCAAATTTTAGCGCCGTCAAGGTTCTTGCAGTATTCTCTACTAAAGTGCGCTGGGTGACCGGACTGAACGGTAATCGGGAAATCTGCTGCAACTGGCACGCGATTCAGAACCTCCAAGTACATTTCTTCGACTTTTGTTGAAGGATTTTTGCAAATGGAATCTTTTGTTTTCGTGCAAGAACTACAGCCGTTTTCTATCGCAGCCAGCACTGACATTCGCTCGGGAATGCCGAAAAATTTTCCGCACCAAATGGCATTACTATCAAAGGTAGAAGCTTTCCTTGTTGATTCATTCACCACTCAATGCAGGTTTTTGCATAACTGTCATTGAGTTCTGGACAATCTAAAAGATGCATACAGCCCCGCCCCACTAGACTCATCTTTGGATTGTAGAGGTAGAGATGAATTGGGTTCGTATTACCATGCTAAACGACAATAGTGATAGCATCGCC